GAAGGAGAGTGAAGGCAAGACAAATTATATGCTACATCTGGGAACAAGTCATGAGAGAAAACAGTTTGTGAACTCATTGATTGAAATATGGTATAATCATGATCTCTAAGCAAGACAGTCCCCTGGGGTGTAAGAAGAAGAGATTAGAACATCTCTAAATAATTCAAAATTTAAAATTCATGCTTAAAAGTGATTATGTGCATTTTTAAATATACATATTATATTTAAAAGTAATACATGTAGGTAATTTCAAAACAATAAACACATATTGGGGTGAATGCTCAATTTATTTTTTTATTTTTTTTTAACCGTTAGCAGATTGTGGGCAGTATCTAGATAGCCATTGCGTAGGTAAGCACTCAAGGAACCAATGGTTTCATGAGGTCAATTACTCTATACTTCAGTTTATTATTATTATCATTGCTGTTATTACTGTTTTCATGAAGGCAATATATGTTAATTGTAGAAAATGAAGACACTACAGAAGGATACTAAAGAAAGGAAACATCACCTATAACTCTATCTCTAAAATATTTTGGTGCCTGTTGCCTGCCCCTTATCTAACCATATGAGCAATAGTTTGTATGTATGTAAGTATCCGTGCACATATAAACACATGATTTTTCAGAATTGGTATTATACTATAGTGGCTGTTTGTATAACTCATTTTTTTCAATTAATATTAAATTATGAATATGTTATTTTGGAACAGAATTTTAATTGTCTATGCACTAGAAATTTGCATACAAATTATGTACTAAAATTTAACCAATTCCCTATAGTTGAATACTTAGATTCTTTTCAATGTCTTGCTGTTCTAATACTTGACGATTGGACATGGAGGCCCTTGGATGCCAAGCAGAATGGACTCGATTTTATTCTGTGGACCAGCCACCCTCCAGGGAATGGTACTACACCCCTAGGGAATATTTTGGAACTCTGGGCAGATGTTCTGGTTTTCAGGATGTGCGAGGATTGCTACTGGCGTTTAGTGGGGACCAGAGATGTCACCTGCCCTGCAATGTGTAGAGCAGTCCTGAGCAATTAAGCCTTGTCCCCTGTCTTGCCCAACTTTCAAATGTCTTACTGGAAATGTATAAGGTGAGAAGCCTGATTTACCATATCCAGGCCCAAATTCCAAAACATGTGTGTTTTACATACACATGCAAAATATTCTGTACCCATTTTTAACAAACACTAAGTTTTCTACTACCGTGTAAATCAAAGAGGAAAAAAAAAGTTTCCTTCAAAGCTTTACCGAGAGTTGTGCGCCATTTTTGAAAATGATATGGCTAATACCACTCTGCGCCTGTTATTTGCAACAGCAACATCACCTCCTTACAAAAGTCTGCGTCTATAGGTGGCTTATGCTCCCTGTGATTCTAAGAGCATGTGTGAGAATCTTACCCCTCACTTCCTCCTGTCTTCCAGTGCTGTCATGCCCACGCATGTTGTAGAGAAATACATATCTGTATGACAAAGATCGGTTCTCCTTCATGTTATACGCAAGGACTTGTATTGCCTTTTACAAAGTTAGGTGGAGGTAGGTCACATTTCTTATTGGTCTCATTTGAGAGTAAAGGAACATCAACAATATGTTTTATAAACAGTGGTCATTGGGTATAGGGGGTTGAAAACTGCTACTAGAAAAAGCAGGAAGCTTCCCCAGGAGAGCAACGTGAGGAAGCCGAGCTGGCGGTAGGGAAATTCTGAGAGCGAAGAAAACAAATGGGACAATAGAGATGACACGAGGCAAAGAGACCAGAAAAGAGGCAAATGCAATCTAGGCAGGGAAGGAACACAGACCTAGAATATCGCGATGCCTGCGAGCATCAGAAGGAAGAGCATTTTACGGAGGCCATTTTAAAAAGAGAAGTGACTGGAACTCAGTGATCGAATGTAGTGTCACAGGGTGACTACAGAGGGGCTGTGTTCGCAAAAGTAGTCTCACACACGTGCACACACAGGCACACACTTACATTCTCTGAAACTCTGCGTTCATTACCAAGTAATCCCTCTCCCCTCCGGCTGCCAAAGGGAAGACTTACCACGCCACTGATCCTGCCATCTGACAGCCCAACCTGACGCTAGCCTGAACTGGAGGGGCAAAGCTTTATTTGGTTTATTTATTTGTTTGTGATTCTCCATCCAAGATAAACCCTGAAAGAAATTTTAAGTTTGTTTCAAGTACATTCCGTATTATAAATCATATACTTGCATTCCCATACTACAGTAAGCAGAAAACCACAAGGCTCAGCTATATATATATATGTCTCCACACACCTTCCTTCCTTGTCAAATCAATGCACACACACCCACACAAAGAGAGACAATAAAAAGGAAACTAAGAATCTGTGAACCGATGATTATGTGTCAGCAGCATACATGCTTACTAATCAGAAGCGACCCTAACAATTAAAATAGTATGACATTAGACGGGGCAAGAAAACCATGGTTCTAAATGGCAACGAAACATTCCAAAATGAAGGAATAGAAAGAGAATCATGGATATTAACCATAAGATAATCAGTGCTGGAAAATACTGGGGATAGAAGAGAATGTCCCGATTCATAATCAATTTCCAGTTAAGATTAAAATTGTATTATCTGCTTAATTATCCACTTTTAGGATGTATATCTTTCCTCAATTTCAAACTTTTTTGAGAATGGATAATATAACTATTTCTTTAAATAAAGGAAGAGTGAGTCAAGAAGATGCCCAGATACAATGGGACTATTTAGTTTTCCTGATCCATGTCCACGCAACAGTACTGAGTCAGTAAAACATGAATAACACATTCTTGATTGCTTTTCTTAACAATGGAAAAGTGAGAAGAATGGCAACCAGATCTTTCTCAATCTGAGCAATTATTCCCCCACGTCACCAAAAAAAAAAAGAAAAGAAAGGAAGAAGGAAAGAAAATGTCAGTTGTATTCCATCAAAGTACACAATGTCCCTAGGAGCCTCACTATTAAATTTTCACATTGTCCTTTTTTTTTTTTCTTTTATGGGTTACTTACCATCTGAAATGCATTCTTTAGCACTGTTCTATTTGCTTTGTGTGACAAAAATGCAAGACAAAGCCCAAGGATTCTGTTAACGGCCTGAAATGTGTAACGAAGGGTTTTTCTAGGCAAAGGAATGGATACCAACATCCCTCTCTCTGCCCCTCTGCTGCGGGATCTCAGGTTTGACAAGGGGTAGAATAGATATATACTGGGTATATATTATGCCACAGTTTAGGAGGCTTAATGAGACATGAAGAAACAGAAAATGACTTGAAGCTAAGAGGAGATGCTGCAGGTGAGATTATAACTGGTTATGGCTTAAAGGTCACGGTCTTCTCTCTTCCTCTTAATTAGCCACAAATTCCAAGCCCCTTGTCATGAAAGACAAAGACCCCGTGACTGCCCCTTTGCACCCATGTGATCTTTTTTTTTTTAAAGATTTATTTATTTATTTATTTATTTATTTATTTATTTATTTGACAGAGAAAGACACAGTGAGAGAGGGAACACGAGCAGGGGGAGTGGGAGAGGGAGAAGCAGGCTTCCCACAGAGCAGGGAGCCCGATGCGAGGCTTGATCCCAGGACCCTGGGATCATGATCTGAGCCGAAGGCAGACACTTAACGACTGAGCCACCCAGGCGCCCCTGCACCCATGTGATCTTTGAATCACACCTTCTTCTCTTAAGTCTCTAGGTCATCATGCTGTGATTCCTCCTGGAATCTACTTCTCTACAACTGTCCCCTAACTGGCTTCTCCTGATTGTTCAAGACTTAGCTGTAATGTGTCACACAGGGAGGTAGATAACCTTTCTCTCTGTAATCAGTGCAAACAAGGTTCATCTCCATCAGGGCCCTTACTAGTTACCTTGTGATCCCCCCCTTACTCATGTGTCTCCCGACTTATGAGCTTCTTAAGGGCAGGGGCCAAGTCTTGTTGATGTCCGTATCTCCAGTGCACAGCACAGTGAGTCCTCAGTGAAGGTTTGTTGTTTGCCTGACTGGGAAGTAGAGTACGGCTATTGCCTATAAAATCTATTAATGGTATCACCGATTTTCCCACAGAAGATAGGGAGAGGTTTGCAAGTCAGAGCTTGTACTAACCAGGGCCATGGAGGTAGCTGAGCTTGAGAGGGAAGACGCTAGGGGTAGAGCATGACCCAACTCTGATGGTTCTGACTCATTGTGAATTCCCACTCTCCATGTCATGGCCACACAAACCCCAGGGCAAACTCCCGCTGGGTTGCTTCAATATCCATGATGTCCACGCAGCAGGGGCATGGGAGCAAATGGTGTTGGCTCATGAGACTTCACAGTTCTTGGAAATCTGGTTTAGAGGCAGGGATTTAGCCGGCAGGACCATGCTAGGAGAGGTGCAGGGAAGACACAAGGAGTCCCTAGAGCCTGGGGCTTCTCCTCACTTGGGACTGTTAGCCCTCACCAGCCGTGTGTGAAGAGACTTTCAAGCCCATTTGGTTCTATGATCAGTTGAAACCCACTGCTGGCATCTCTTTTCTTGTTTTTATCTGCCCCTGGGCAGAAGATGCTTTTGTTGGTGGAAAGCACAGAAGGGCTCACACTCACAAAGGGTACCGGATTTAGACTTTTAACGTTATCTCCAAGTGAGGTGATGCAAGCAGTCCCAGACACACACTGGTGGAGTTGAAAAAAAGAAGCCATTCATCATGGAACTTTAACCTTGTGTCCTCTCATCAGATCATACTTTCTGAAGTACACTGGGAATGAGAACATCTACTGCATCCTATAGCTATCTTGCAAACAGCACCATTATTTGGAATTCATATGTGGATCAAGTAAGTTACGTTGTTTAAACGTAAACAGTGTTGGCAATGGTTTGGCCTTTCAATACACTAGGAGCCGCTTCTCTCGATCTTTGAGAGGTCTTACAAGTACAGAATTATTCATAGGATCAATAGGCAATGGGAACAGTATTATTTCATCAAAATGAAAAATGCAGTTTACTTATTACTTACCAAATTAAGTTTTGCCCAGAATTCAGGTCCTTCTTCCATCTCTCTAAGGCTCGGTGGAATGTACCAAAAGCAAATATTGGCATATTCAGGCTGAGGATTAAAAAAAATTTGAGAGGTGTTTTGTTAACCTACGATTAATCTTAGAATGTAATTAAGCTCTTAGCTGCTTTCTTTAGGAGTTGTCACATGTGTATTACGTTGATAACAAATCAGAACCTGATAGAGTTAGACATTCATTCTCCTATCAATAACAGCCGATTGGGAAATTTTCTTCTCAATTGGGTGCACCTAGAAGGTGCTCTTTCCTCCAGATAAGGGATGAACACAAGATTGGGAATAAACAAAATAAAGTTTGAAGCTGCCTCAACCAAGCTCTGACCATTAGTTAGCACCTGATACACATATGTCCAGAGATGCCCTCGTTCCTCTCTCGTCAACCCTGATCCGTAACTTATTTCCTACACCACCATATCTTTCCAATAATTCCCTGCCACTTAAGGTAGCCAAAGGTGTCTTCCATTACCAGCTATACCTGACAAATGGAAAATCCCCGTTATCTGTGAGTTGATAACACACACCATACTGTGCTCTTGGCCAGGCTATGGTGCTGAAAGTCCAACCCGAGGGTTATAGGCAACATTCCTTAAGGCAAGAGCAGTATACCAGACTTAACCAGCACTGCGATGACCCCAGCCAATACTGTTTTGGGAAAAAGAACATCACCTCGACTCTTGGTTGTCACGTCTCAGCAGCAGTCTCAAGTATTGGTAAGGTTGTGAATCAGCTAGGGCGCTTGTTCAAAACAGATTCTCAGACCCTGTGCTCAGAATGCCCAGAGTCTGATATAGTCTGCCATAGAAAAGGCTGGAGAACTGGCATTTTATGAAGTATCTCAGGTGATTCTGAAATAAGTAGTGCATGGTGTACTTTTGAAAAACTCTGATCTAAAGTGGCCATAGCCCAATCATCATCTCCAGTAATCTGTTTTGGTTAAACATGGGATAAACCTTCCAGAACAGGCTTTAGTCTAGCTATTGTCACAGAGACAAAATTTTCTCCACTACACACTTGTCATAGACAATCACAGGACTTGTATTCAGTGACCAGGTGACTTGGGAAATTATGATGGGGGCTTACAAATTAGATACACAGGAGAGAGAAGTTATTTAGGGAAGATTATAGGTCATGCCTATCCACTCAGTAGCTTCCTCATTTGATTCTTAGCAGTGACAGTATTTGAAATAAATTCCATTTTTCCACACAAACACAGTTTGTAGGTAATAACCAATGTTATAATAGTTCTCAGGAGCCATCAGAATTATACTCCAGTATCACTATAAATTTTCCAAGTATTTCAGAAAGATGAAACAGCTATCATCTTATATCTTAAAATCAAGACCAGTACTATATAGAGTTCTGATTCTAGTGGATTTTAAATCACAAGTGAATGCCCAGAAACATTCCCAGCTCAATAAGATAAGTCCTTTAACCTTTGAAATTTGGAATGAGCTTATTGGATTTGACAAAAAAAAAAAAGAAAAAAAAGAAAAGAAAAAGAGCCAAAAATCTTCAAAATACAGAGTAGTTCAAAATGGAGTACTATTTAATTCAACTCAATTTCTGCAAACATTTATCATGAGACTACAATAGTCTATATACAAATTCACACAATTTATACTTGGATTTCTGATATAATTGATTTGGTTTCTCTAGGAAAGAAATGTACTGGCCTTCGAAATTCTTTACTCATTTAATGTGAATAAATCTTTTCAAAAAAGTAACTATGGTTGATTAGAAAGTAGAAGAAAAATATAGTTATTATCTGTCATTGGGTTTTAGGGATTCATGTCTTTATATCAATAATGATTTTCTTCCAGATACCATTTATGTTAGTTATCAATTTACTGTCGCTCCACTCAAATCCACACTTTGTATCCTATCAAAATGGAAGTGGACTCTATCAATATTTCTCCTTGCCATCTGGTCCAATCTTAGACTTTATCAGCAGAGGGTGCTGGAGGGACACCGAGAAGGAAGAGGTATCTCTTCCAGGTTCTGGTGTGCTAACCTCATGGATCTCCTCCAGTGTGTGTGGCTTTTTCAGCAGCACTGTTTCCCAGCCACAAGTGGACCCCCTGTAGCTTCCCCCAGGGCCACCCCCTCAGATGGCTTCACAGCAGACTGATAGGTGCCCTAAATGGCTTTTTCTAGCACACTGCCCTCAAGTGGTGCCAGCAAGGCACCTTGCTTCAGATGGCTTTTCTGGCCACCCTGTGTGTAGCTTGAGTGCGTTTCAAGATGCATCTCTGAAAATGACTTCCTCTAGCATTCCGGAAGGTGGATTCCTGGCAAAACCCAGTAGCGGGACGTCTCCGTGAATTCTCTGCCATCCACTGAGCCACACTGTGCCCTCTCCAACTATGACCGGATCTCAGCCCTGGGAGGGAGTGCCCTCTTCCCCCGGTGCTCTATCCCAGTTCTAGGAGTGTGGCCGTTTTCTACATCTGCTATTTCTGTATTTTTTAGGATTCTCTTTTTCCCTTATGAGGCAATCCCCTGTTAATAATTCTTCTTCTTCTTTTTTTTTAATATGAAATGCCTTACAAATTTGTGTGTTATCCTTGCACAGGGGTGATGCTAATTGTCTCTGTATCATTCCAATTTCAGTATATGTGCTGCTGAAGCAAGCACAATTAATTCTTTATACTGCACTTTCCCCACTTCAAATTACTGTGCAGTTTTTGTCTTCTTATTCGACCCTGACCAATACATTACTAATACATACTCATTACTTTTCATTTGCATGGCAACATCATAAATCATTTTGCAGTAGTTTTTACCTGCTACTGTATCTGCTCTGTATTTCATAAGTTAGGACCTAGACCTTTTAAATCACCTTTTAAATTTGTTTTCTTTAGTTTCTGTTTTGATATTTTTGAAGTGACATATCTATGATTCCTTTTGCCCAGTCTCTTTGAGAATGGTGTGGCTTCAGGTCTGTGGCATTTGAAAACTGGTGAAGTCCTTTTGTTTTTTTGTTTTTTAGGATTTTATTTATTTGACAGAGAGAGAGAGCACAAGCAGGGGGAGCAGCAGAGGGAGAGGGAGAAGCAGGCTTCCCGCTGAGCAGGGAGCCCAATGAGGGGTTCCATCCCAGGACCCTGGGATCATGACCTGAGCCACCCAGGCACCCCAGTGCAGTCCTTTTGACACGTCATCTGATTGGAGGAAATTTGATCTCCCATTTGGTAGAATACCTTTACTGTCATTATTTCCAAAATTATTAAGATTTGGAAAAAATATCCCTTTGAATATTCACAAGGAACATATTTGAGTTTTCCCTGTCTCTTTGCCTGTGTAGCTTGCATTTGATACAGGGACTTTCTTCAAGAAACTTCAAAGTACTAATGAGTATTTTCAGAGTAGAACTGCTCACATGCCATTTCATTCCCCCTGTATAGGAAAGCCTGACCTCTCGGGTGTCTTAGGAACACTTTAGGTCTATGTACTCTAAATCACAAAATTGAGAAGGTATAAGAAGAAATCCAAGTGTCTAGAGAAGACATGATAGTGAAGGGTACAAAAACACCTGTAGCCATGAAAGCATTGTCACCATCTTTAAAAATTCATGGAAAAGTACAGATGTGTCACTAGAGAAAAGATGGACACATTCTATCCTGGTTTTCAAAGAGAAAAAAAAAAAAACAGATATAGTCTAAGAAATAAAGCAGGTAACTTTGATGTCAATTCCAGCAAGTATTATTGAGCAAACAATATGAGACCCCTTGGGGAAATACATCAAAGGTCACCAAGATGTAGCTGGCATTCTCTAAAACCGAGTCACATTAAAAGAAATTCATCTCCTTTGCTTACAACATCCTTAGATCACAAAAATAATAATAATAAAAGACAAAGCTAGCACTAGGCATTTTAATAAGTAGAAATGCAGAATCTGTCAGGTAGAGTGAAATAATCATGTAAGTATAGAATGGAGAAAGGGGGCTTGGTGGATTTTAACTGACTTCAAGCTTTTCGATTTTAAATATCTGATTAGACTACTAAAAAATTTCAAAGGCAGCGTGAGTAGCACAAAAAGCCTGGGTTTTGCAGTCACATGGATGTGGTTTGTATCCCAAGTTCACCAGGTTTTTGCTTGGACAAGTGTTGAATACTTTAATCTTCAGCTTCCTAATCTATGAAACGGAGACCATATTGTCTACCCCACAGAGGTGGTTTGATGAGCAGAGATTATTTCCAATATTTACCACTGTATCTGGCATACAGCAGGCTCTCTATTAGCACAGTGACTATTATCTGGAGCTATTTTGGTAGAAAGAGATGTCCTTTTCAAGTGGATGAATAGCCCCATTTAAATCTGTACTAGGTGAGACACATCACTATTTTTGCATACAGTATTTGGGGGGGAATGTTAAAGAATTATAGCCTACCATAGAAAGGTAACTGAAATGTTCAATTCAATAAGCAGGATTTTCTGTGTTCTAGATACTGGACCAGACATTACGATTAGAAAAATGGCTTACACTGTATGCTTATCTCTGGGAACTCGGCAACTAGTAATGGAAATAGGTATAGGCAATTAAACTGCAATGGAATGAGAATTACAAAAGAAGAATTTTCTCATAATACAAGAAACATTTCTGGCAACAGGAACAGTGCACGTGTAAAAGCCCGTATATTCAGGGGCACGGCAAGAACTTGGAATGAATAGAGGACAAGGTGAACTGAAAAGAAGAGAAGATGGACATGGGAATGAGAGTCACTTCACGAAGGGCTTCCTCATCTGCCGTGCTTGGGAGTCTGGGCTTGATTCTAGAGGCAATGTGGAATCATGGGAGAGTTTCCATCTAGGGAGCAGATTTCATTTTAGAAAGGCCACAGTGTGGCTGCCGTGGGGAGATGCACTGGAGAGGCGTCTGAGACTGGAAGGGGATGAGTTACAAGACAGGGCAAACCTGGGAAGGGGATGAGTTACAAGACAGGGCAAACCTGAGGAGTGATAGGAGCCTGAACTGAGGCAGTGGCTTCAGGAGTGGAGGAAAGTGCCCAAGATACATTTAAGAGAAGGGGAAGGGAGATAGTGAAGACAACATCAAGATTTTTGTTTGGATCATAGTTCTAATGACTGAAAGAAGAATACGGAATTTGGGAAAAGAGAATGGCTACACTTCAGCTTTAGAAATGTTGAATTTGAGGGGCGTCTGGGTGGCACAGTTGGTTGAGTGTCCGAATCTTGGTTTCGGCTTAGGTCATGATCTCAGGGTCGTGAGATGGAGCCCCATGTCAGGCCGCCCTAAGCATGGAGTCTGCTTGAGATTCTCTCTCCCTCTGCCCTTCCCCCACCTCTAAAATAAATGATAAAAAAAAAAAATACTGAATTTGAGGTTCCTGTGGGAGTCTAACTGAAAATTTCAGGACATACCTATGTACAAAGGACTAGAGTTTAGGAGACAAGACAAGGATAGAGACATTAGTGAAGCCAATGATACCAAAGTCCTAGAAATGGATTAAACATTTCAGGGGGAGTATGTGGACACAATGAAGAACTAAAGGCAGAAGCGAGGAAAGTAATACTTAATGGGCTACACAGATGAAGAGACCTCCTTCACATACAGACTGAGAAGAAGTCACATGGAAAGGAGAAAAACTGGGCAAGAAATTCAAAGAAACCAAAACAGAAGAGCATTTCAAGAGGGAGGGAGTGGATAATGGTGTAAAATGCTACAGAAGTCCAACAAGATGAAGATTTAAGAATGTGCATTGGATTTTGCAATTAGAAGGGTGCTGTGATCTAATAAAACTAGATAAAAAGATAACTATAAATTGCAATATGCTTGATACATATGAATAGTAGGGGTCAACAAGTAATAGAATATGAATAATTAGAGCTCCAGGGAAGAGGACTAGGCTGTGAATTATCTGACACAGGAAGTGTTCAGGAAGAGGTTGACTTCCTGTTATGGTTACTGTCAAGAGAGGTTTCCTGCCTTGAGCAGGAAGGTGACTAGATGTCCTTGAAGATCCTTGATAACCTGGCAAGGCTATGAAACCTAAATAACTCTTCCTAATGTAGAACTCAGGAAGAGAAAACAAAAACTTGAATAATTAAGACTCTCCCGAGAGATCAAAATAAAATATGTGAATGACAGTATACAAATGAATATACCTCTAGGAAAACATCTGTTAGATCTTAGTTCCCACACAGAAAAACAAAGAGATGATATTCAGGGCCCTATGAATAATGCAGAATTCATTTGAAATGATAACTTTCAATCATCTTCAAGAAGATATGCATTATTTTTGCTCTTTTCAGGATAAGATACTCTGTTTTGTTGTGTTCATTTCCTGTTTTCAATATTCCACTTAACATTCTATCTGCTAAAAAGTGAATGAAAATATATATTCTTTATATATATAATATAAATAAAATTTTACATGTACAAAAATATAGAAATATGTGTATATATAATTATAGACTTTCATTTTTCCTAAACTGAAAGGCTCAGTTTCACAGACTATAATCAAATCTCTCTTAAGTATGCATTAGAGTTATATTTAATCAATCCAAAGTAAGCATTTGTTAACAAAAAGGATAAATGCCTTGACACTTACATATAAGATTCAAGGTCTAAATTTACATTATTTCTCCAAATGGAGCACAGAGAAGAGAGGCAAATGCAGATCACATACAAAAACTCTTGTAAGTAGGAATTCTGGAGTACCACTGAGAAAGCCACCTTCACTGCTTTGGGGCCATCTGGCTCCCATAGATAAAATATCCAGGGCAGAAGGCTGCCTAACGATGAAAACCCACCTTAACTTGCATAACAAGGATGTCAATGTTTGCAATTCCCTAAAGATGATGGTGCGAGTTTCCTCCCTTCACTTTTAAGCTTTTAGGAAGAATATATAAATAACTTCTAAAACAGTTCATCTTTCTTTCATCACTTTTTCTTTCAGCTCTATCAAAAGATTGCAGTTCCAAGGTGTACAGCACTTTCCATAAGCACCATGGCTCCCACAGCCAGAGAAATAAAGAAAGCAATTCAGACTTGTAAAAACAGAGGGAAACTCAACCTCAGGGAAATAAAGAAGGCAACTCAAACTCAAGAAAATTTAAAAAGTCACTCAGACTCAAACTCCAGGCAATCCTATAGCTGTTGTTTTACCCCTACATGCTGAAGCGTGCAGCTCTTAAAAATACACACGTTTTGGGAGACTGGGTGGCTCAGTTGGTTAAGCTACTGCCTTCGGCTCAGGTCATGATCCTGGAGTCCCGGGATCGCATCCCGCATCGGGCTCCCTATTCAGCAGGGAGTCTGCTTCTCCCTCTGACCCTCCCCCTCTCCTGCTCTCTGTCTCTCATTCTCTCTCAAATAAATAAATAATATCTTAAAAAAAAATACACACGTTTTCTTGGGTAGTCATAATGCCGTTGTCATACCTAACAAAATTATCAGTAATTCCCAACAGCCAGTTTCACTATAGAAATTTCCCAACTATTTCAAAACCTACTTTTTACAATTGCTCAAACTAGGATTCCAATAGCTCCATGTGTTGCATGTGGTTAGTGGGTCTCTTCTGTCTCTTTGAACCCAGAATGATCATCACTCCCCCCTCCTTAATTTTTCTTCACACCACCTGTTGAAGAAACCAGGTCAGCTGTCCTGCAGAATGTCCTACACTCTAAATTCATCTTTTTGCTTCTTTGGGGTGTTACCAGAAAGTCACTTAAATATGGATTCTCTTGTTATCTTTGCAAGTTCCTTCATGTCCCTATTTTTCAGGAACTTTGGACTCTTTTGTAGATAGTGGTGGAAGGACCGTCATCATATCTCACCTGGGCCACAGCAACAGCATCCCAATTGGTTTAAATTACCCTTTCCTTGGCCTCCCTTTACCTCCTCCCACCCCATTCCTCTCTTCCCAGGCATCTTTAGCATGATCTTTTAAAATGGAATTCAGGGGGTGCCTGGGTGGCTCAGACAGTTAAGCATCCAACTCTTGAGTCTCAGGGTCCTGAGACCAAGCCCCGTGTTGGGCTCCACAGTGGGCATGGAACCTACATAAGATTCTCTCTCTGCCCCTTCTCTCACTCTCTCCCTCTTAAAAAAAAAATAAAATAAAGTTTAAAAGTAAGTAAGTAAGTAAATAAATAAATAAATAAAAGAAATTCAGACTCCTGTCTGCATAACATTTCTCCAATGATTACACATGGAATAAGAGCCAAAACCAGGACCTACCCGACTCCACCTGCTCTGGTCTTTGCCCACCTCTCCACCTGCATCACCACTTGCACCCCTGCCTCTTGCCTAATATATCTTCTTCCGGTTCCTCAAACACATAGAACTCTTTTCAGCTGGAAGCCCCATAGAACTCTTTTCAGCTGGAAGCCTTTGTAGTTGTTTATTGATCCTATCTAGGACGCCTTTCCCTCAGATATCCGCATGGCATGTTGTTTACCATCAATCAGGTCTCACCTCAAAGACAACCTCAGAGGGCCCTACCTGGACACCCCAAATGAAACAGGCCACCCCCCACCACCCACATCATCATTCCAGCATTCCACCCTTATTTTTATTATAGAACTTGCCACATCTGTAACTCTTTATTTGTATACTAGGTTCTCTCTCATGAACCTGCTTTATTGTTTTCTTAACACATCTCACTACCTGATGTTTGCTAGGTATTAATTTGCTTCTTTACTGCCCGTCACTTGCCATTTGAGGATAAGCACCACCAGAGCAGGGAATTTCCCTGTCTTACACCTGAAGTGCCTAGAACTATACCTGGCACATAGTAATTGCTCAATAAATCTTGCTGCATAAAAGAATGCCAAAAGTTAGCCAGATTGCTTACATATGAAAAGATTCCCAGGTTGTAATCTCTAGGTGATTTTTACATTAGGTTAAAAATTGCTATATAATATATGCTATAAGAAGATCTAAGAGAACATCCCACACTTCATATTTCTTAAAAACCAGAATTAAATAAGATTCTTCATAATTTCTAACCATATATTTTAGGGAAAAAAAAACAGTTTTTTTCCTCTATCTTTGCAACCATTTTGTGTCTTATACATAGCAAACAGTCCAACCACAAAATGACTTATTTTCCCATTGCTCCAAAGCTAATACACTCTCCTTATTTTATAAAAAGAGAAAACTCTATGCATCATTGTACATTCACTTAATTGATTTTTCATATGCAGGCACCACTATTGCATAGTTGAATATTCACAGTACAATCATCATGCAATTTATATATTTATTCAGTATTATCCTTGGTAATTATTATTGAGCACTTTAATTTTCAATACTAAAAGGCAAGTGTGTTCTTTGCAAATCCAACAAAGGCAAAATACTCACTAATAGAGTAAATTAACATAATGGACTCCATGAATTAAGCTAATGACTTGTTTCTAAGTCTGCAACACAAAAACCAATGAAATATAACAGATTAGAAAATTGCCACCTTCATCACTGTTGACTGACAAAATCACGAGCACAATTCCATAATCACTTACTTCCAGCAATAACTTGAATCCTTCTCTTTTCTTGATTTCTTCTACGAGGTACCTAAAAATGAAAGACAAATAATATTTATAATCTGGCATCTAACAATTCCATGAACACGAGTGACACACAAAAACACCGTTATTTCAAAATGCAGAGACAGGATTAGAAATACAGGCTTAGAAATAAAGAAGGGCAGGGGAAAAGGGATAAACATGGATTTAGACAGATATCCCTGAACCTACTGCAGACCCCTGGGGCCCGAGTAAAAAGGTTCATCTTTTGGATGAGGTGACGTTTATCTCTCATATTAGCATCAGACTTTAACCCCAGTATGAAAACCACCTAGACTGGAGATACATCTCTGGCCATGTGGGTTTCACATTCATATTCTAGATGGGGATTTAGCACAGTTACTTAAATTACCTAGCTGGCTTTTGGTGTAGAGTCCTACCTGTAAGCTCATTTAAGATCAAGGAAGCTCAACATCGTTTTTTCCAAGGCCAGGACAGAGGGAAAAAGGACTGATCATTAGTATCATGTTAAAAGTAAGTGGGCTGTAGCCACTGACAGAATGTCTAAGAAGTCCTCTCCAATGTCAGGGAGAAAAGAACTATCATGCCATAAGCAAAGGGCACGGATACAGGAGATGCAGAATATGACCAAAAAAAGGTGAAAATGACTTTGAGAACATAGAGTAAATCAACATGGACACCTCTTCCCTGGGATCGGTTATTGTCTATATAAAAAGAGGAGCCTTTCGAAATAATTGTCCTTAAAAACTAGTGATTTGATTATGAGTCTTGAAAAGTTCATAACCCTTGACCCAGTATCTCAGATTTGGGGGTAAAATGTAAGGAAGTGATCAGGGGCATTGACAAAAATGTACTTGCCAGAATATTTATTGTGATTTTATATGTAACAGCAAAAGAAACAAACAAACAAAAAACATAACACCCAAGAATGAAGATTGGCTTTGAAAATTATGGTCCATTCATCATATGGAATTATGGTATAATTATCTGGAAGGGGCACCTAAGTGGCTCAGTTGGTTGAGCATCTGATTTTTGATTATAGCTTAGGTCATGATTTCAGGGTAGCAGGATCAAGCCCCGCGCCAGGCTCCACACTCAGCACAGAGTCTACTTGAGATCCCTCTCTCTGTGTCTCCCTCTACCCCTCCTCCCTCTAAAAAAGAAAATAAAAATAAATCTTTTTAAAAAAGCAATTATATGGAATATGATCATATCACTAAACCACATATATTAAATTAATATTTAAAGACAACAAAAATGTTTCTTGGGCCTCAATTCCAAGAAAACTGAAATAACACAATCTGCTTTTCTAATCTCAAACATTGTTTCAAAAGAATTAAGTAAAACCATGCATATATGTAATTTTACCTAAATTTATGTGTACACATGTGTGCATGTATTTCACACAAAATAACCAGAAACAAGGTTAAAAATCCAGAAATTGGCAAATGGTAAGATAAAATGTATTATAGCAACACAACATAATATGACATAGCTATTAAAAAAAATGAATTACATCTACTTCAATTAAACCACAGGGATGCTCGTGATGTATTAGCAAGAGATGAAAGCAAGGTACTGAGAAATGTCAATAATATGATTTCTCTTTTTAAGAAATTATCAAAAAGAAAGCAGAAGTAATTCCTATCCCTATATCCATATATATATATATATATATTTCCCCCCCACGGAATAAAGAATGGAAGGGTACACAATAAATTGTTAGTGTTTACCGGGGGGAGGAACAAACAATGCAATGGGGTAGTTACTAATTCTTTTTATATTTCTTTGCAAAGTTTCATAGATGTGGTTACTTGTGTACTTTTTGAAAGGGAACTTAAAAAAGACAAATGTAAAGCACAAACATAATAGACAGACAGATACAATCTCTATTGGTACAAGGAAAGCTTGTGAACCATACTTTTTTCAAGCTTCTCAGACACAAATGTATATAGGAAATCTGTGAACTCCAAAGCAATACTACACTTCATCCTGAGGAAGCCTACACTAATCCTGGACACCACGACGCTATGGAAAAGCTTTGCATCTCCAGAAGTCCTGGGACTGATTCTAGAAGATTCTAATTGCACAGCTCATCAACTTTGTGACTAGGCAAGTTCCTTAGCTTCCCCAGCCTGCCTCAGTTTCCTCCTGTCTGCAATGGAGATGTGGGACTAGGTGGGTAAAATCCTTCCCTAACAGATGATGACTGTAGGAAACTTGCACGAAAGTCTCAATTTAAGCTATTTCTGTCAAACTGGCTAAAACTGCTCCCAAGAGAAAGGTGTCCTAAAACAGAGCTGGATCATTTCAGTTAAAACTCTGCTTTTTGCTAACCATGGGGACCTGGGCTTTGTGTCAGGGCCACTGTCCCCACTGTAGCCACTCTCAGAGCCCAGAGTGTTAACACTCCAACTGAGTTGAGAGTAGATGTGGTTTGGGTGAAGGGTTGCTATTACAACCATAATAAGAGGCTCACACGGGAGTCCCCCAACTATGCTCTATGCCAACTCATGTTCATAGGTCTCCCACATAAAAGAGCTCAATTGCCAAATAAATGTGAGCTATGCTAGGCATGCCAATTAGATTACTTTTATCTACAATTAGAAGGGCACTTGGCTTAACTCATAAAGACATTTATTGAACTGGTTGGATGGTTCAATGCTGTCATCAAGAACCAGGCATTTTCTATCATTTCAAGATGTGTGCCATATTCCATGCATCATGGCCTTCCACGAGTGTCCAAGAAGGAGGAGAGGGGGCTGGAGCAAAAGCATTTCCTCTTCCTTTCTCTCTACTGAGGTAAGAATATTTTCCCCAGAAGCCTTCAAAGACTTCTTCCTCTATCTTCTTGACTGAGGCTGAGTCATATATTTACGCCTAAACTCACTACAGGCAGTGGAGATTGGCTGAGACCAATGTTCCCAGCTATACTATTGCCACCTAAATAAAATCAAGGTTCTCTTAGCAAGAAAAAGAGGGAGAATGGTTGTTGGCTGAACAATAAACAGTATCTGCATGTTAAAAATATTAAAAACAAAGTGAAAAAGGTTTCCATATTACAGGCCCCCTCAGGAACACTATATCTCCGAGAGAGGAATAACAGAGTAGTTAGCCTTTCCAAACATATTTGACCATGGAAACGTTTTTTGGAAGAACATTCATTAAGATCTTCTGGAAGTCTATTATCCCACAGAGGGCAGTTTCAGAGATGCTAGTTGGGAGAAGTGCTTCTTCAATAGGGTATCTTCCCCTCTTCTTAAATAAAAGTTTAAGTGAAAGGAATTTTGGGGAAGGAATCCAAATAAGGTTTGAGTCACTTCTGCCTGCATTCATAGGGATGATTTTTTCCTCACAATTTTTCTTTTCAATACATGGAAGCCGACTTAAGATAAAATACATTTCAGGGGGAAAAAAAAAAAAAAAAAACAACTCTTCTTATCTGATGCAAACCAGAAAAGGATGTACATTGAGTTTGGGGATATAATGCAGGAACCAGAAACCACTTCTACCAAAAGGCATCCAGGTAAATGGGTTCAAAAAATAACAATAGCTTATAAAACTCATCACTGTGCTTCCTGCTAGGCTTAGCAAAGAGAGAAGGGAGGGAAAAAAATTACACACTAGCAAGAATTTTCACCAATCCTACCGGGTAAAAAAAAAAAACCCATTGTATGAAGATTCTGGCTTGATTTTGAAGCAGACATTAATGATAGTCCTGCTCCCAAACACTTCTCTTTCCTTTGCTTACAAATATGCCTCCAACCCTGAGGACCTTCAATTCTCTTGTTTGTTAAATGATTATATCTGATGTTTTTGCCTTTAACTTGCCCTTTTACAGGATGTTCTTTGCTTTCTGGAAGCAGCCTTTCAGTCCCTTTCTCAGCTACTCCAGGGTCTCCCTTGGAACACTCTGGACCAACTTTCTCTCCCAGCCTCACCTCCTCATTTGAAATTGTTTTCTGATGCATGGAGCCTCCCAGAACTCCTGAGATGTTTCTCCATCTGTTTTCTGTATGCTCTGCATATATTAGAACATATTGCATGACTTGTGTGGTTCAGCACAGACACCTACATGCTACGGTCTCCTGCAATTGTGATTTTTGAAAAATTACCAATATAAAGAAAAACGAAAGCACTGACCCTTCTGTAGCCCTGTAGACTGCCCCCTCTCTCATCACCTAGAGAAATACACTAGCTCCGAAGTGCCATTGAGTATCTGCTCACCTTTTCCACGCTGAAAACAATAAATCCCCCAGTATTCATGCAAGTCAGTGAAATGAATGCCATCTGAGAGATTACAGAGATTGTGTGTCAAGGGACTAGATAAATGATACACTGGAGATCTAATGAAGTAGCCGAATGGGAATTCTTGAGCTGTTTGTTGTTGTTGAAAAGATTTACACACATGACTTTTCTCGGCTTGCTTTAAAAAATTACCTCTGACTGAATATCCATTTAACCCGAGGGCCATAGCGGAGGCCTAGAAGGTGCCCCCAGCAACAGGTAGCCCTGGGCATTGGGAAACATTTTCAACTTTCCTAGACAGATATCAGGGATACACAATCACCTGCCTGGTACCAGTGGTGGTGGTTTTAAATCCCAGCCCTCTGCATTTCAGTTACACTTCATAATCGTATGCTGCTTTAGGTTCCCGATGTCACTGGTTTTCAAACAACCCAAGGAGAAAGCAAGTTTTTAGTCATTAATATTTCTCCAGATAAGAGATCTCTTGGTGATTGGAATGACGAGGGTCAAATGGAAATTAGTAAAGGCCTTAGAGATCTTCCAGGCACTAATTTTTTCCCTTTTTCCTAGATTCTAACAACTCATTAAAAAGGAATCTTTGTCTTCTAATGTCTGCTTTTGCTTTCCCAAGGGAAGAGAGAGCAAACTATCTGATCAGGGGGATGGCAGCCCATTGTTCCATCAAACTCCAGCCCTTCAATTTTAAGGTCAATATACAAATTTCAAACTAAGCTCAATTTAGACTCAAGAACATGGAAATATTATTTCTGTGGAGTCAGAGCAATCTTTCCTGCAATGTCAGGGGGGAAGAGTTACCCAGCCTTTCCAGTATTTGAGAGATCTTGACAGAGGGTCTAGGGAAATGGGTGTCTTGGCTGTCTCAGGCTGCTGGTAATCGGTGTGCAGCCCAAATACTAACACAACCCTCATTTGCAGCTTTACTTTGCTAATTCTTACCTACTGAAGGGAATTATACTCCTTGGAACAAAACAACATTAATTCTGAAATTATAGACATTATGCCAGCTAGAGCCTTCTGGACACAGATGAGAATCGTTTTTAAAGGCAGTGGCCTAGGGTCAGTGAGCTTGATGAGAAATGGAGTTTGAACTCTCAAGAGTCAGTGGTTTCTACTGATTACATTGGCTCACTTAAGCAATGGTGTTTCAGAGCAAATATGGACTGGCTAGTGAGAGCCCACTGTTAAATATTTAGGAATTTTGCAAATCACAACTGTTGACAGCTTGCAATTTTACACAATGGGAATATCTACACCGCGGGGATTGATAGGCATTACCAACTGGGGCTTTTGTTTCTTCCTCCTGAGAGCCAGTTTACTAGGACACTACTGTACATGGGCTCCAACAGAATAGATCCCAGCTCTAAGAAAAGGTTTCTCCTTTCCTAAAGAAACCACAAACCAATTAACCAATTTGAAAATACATAAAATCATAAAAATAAAGACTTATGTTGCCAAGTTGATGTAATTCTTAATCCTAGAAAAATTTTCTCCAAGTTTATAATTTCATATTCATTCCAAGTGACATGTCTCAAAGGGCTCAGCCAAAAGTAAAATAAAAATAGGGGCACCTGGGAGGCTCAGTCAGTTAAGCGCCTGACTCTAGATTTTGGCTCATGTCACGCTCTCAGGGTTGTGAGACTGAGCCCCACATCAGGCTCTGCACTGGGCAATGAAGCCTGCTTAAAATTCTCTCTCTCCCTTTCCCTCTGCTCCACTCCTCCTGCTCTCTGTGTATGTTTCTCTCTCTCTCTCAAAAAAAAAGAAAGAAAAAAGAAAAGAAAAATAAAAGGAACTCAGCATTTACTTGGCATTGGGGGTAGGAGAACAGGATGACTTTTGCCCACCCCAGGAAGAGAGGGTTGGATATATGAAAACTGGAAAGTTAAGGCAAAGAAACTATGATGAATAACAGAGTGAAAGAGGAGGATTATTTTTCAAATATTTAGATATAGGTCACAGAGTCTGCAGTGATGCTTGCTGAAATGTTAATTCAATTCAATTCAACTTGACAAACATTTACAAACAATAAGTGTTTGTTGAATTGAATTGAAGTGTTAACATTTATTCTCCTGTGATATTTCTCTGCAAAAATTAGAAAGTATCCTTAGACTATAAATTAAATTCTACCCTGAGATGAATGTTAACTTTATAAAAAATATGATCATCAAATATTTGTATCTAGCCTTCTTTCAAGACACCTGTCAATGAATTACTTAGCAGCTTAGACAAAACAATGCAGAGATTCTGCCACACTTAAGTAGTATGAGAAAATACAAAAAAAAAAAAAAAAGGAAAACAGAGCTTTCTGAACTTCTATTTTAATTGAACAGAAACTATGAATAATTATGGTGGACAGTGTCATTTTTTTTCACCATTGGGTAATTATCTCCCTAATTCTGATGGAGGTACATTAACCCTACTTCTAATAAAAGCATATTCCTCACCTAGTTTCAGCATATTTTTTATAGGAGGAACTGATGTTGCCCAATGCCAAGGGAGGGCATGTGACTCAGCATGACCAGTGAGAGTATCACATTTCCCTGGCAACAGTAACTGATGACAGATGGACATTTGCCTCATTCAGATATGAAAACTTTCTTTAGGATTCTTGAGAGAGGAACACACTCTCATTTGGACCTTGAACTCGAACCTGGGATGATAGAGGATAGAGATCTGGCACTCACAGCAGCCATCTTCCTCCATAGGAATAAACCAACATAAAAGAGAGCAACCCTGAAAGATGGAAAAAGATTGAGGCCTGATGATACGGTTTAAGCCCCTAAATGAAGTCATTCCAGAAGTCATCATTATACTAGCTTATAAGGAACATGGGGTAATAAATTACCTTTCTTTGTTTCTAGTATCTTGAATTACGGTTTCTGTTGCTTGCCACATAAAGAATCCTAAATGGTAGAGGATTTATAGATTTTTTAAACTACTTAAGCCATAATCACTAGAATTGCTGACTTTTAACAATCTTCTAAAAATGCCAAATCCATCTTTTTACCTGTCCTTATATCCAAGCCATTATGAAAAATAATAAAGGAGACCTCATTTGAAATGGACTTAGGAAGCCCTGAAGATGGAGCTTTTGTGCCCTACAAACTCGACATCGATTGCAGACCTCAACAGGAAAAGGCATACCTTGCATTTTCCAACTGGAAGAAGCCTATTCGACTATCACAGCAAATGGGAAGAAGATTTTCTCCTTGTCTAGCAAAAGCCCCAGCCAATGAGAAGCCATACTACCAGCCAGTGAGAAGCCATCCCTCTCTGTCTTGTCCAATGGTCTCATGTCTAAAGCAACCCCTCTCAACTTCCCCCTTTCCTCTATATAAGCAAACTCTTGTTCTCCAGACTTGCTTATGGTTTGCCATAGTTTGAATCTCCTGAACTGCAATTCCTCTGCCATTCCCAAATAAACCCATTTTGCTGGTAAAAAACTGGCTGTTTCATTTTCAAGGTCAATACCATGTAACTTTTCAGTTCTTCCTGATAAAAGGCCCATTGTATCCCCTGCCTCTTGACATTGAGGTTAGCCATGTGATTTGCTTTGGCCGTTGGAATGCCAGTAGATACGATACAATCAGGACTTCAAAGTCGGCCTGCATAATGGGGCTTGTCTTCTTGGTCTTCTGTCATCTCCATCACAAGAACACACTCTGGCTCACCTGTTAATCCAAGGAAGATGCCAAGCATGTGGGGAGTAGACAGGGACCCTCCACCAACCCCTCCAGCCGGCACAGTATGCGATAAAGCCACTCCAGCCCACTTGCAGATGTCTGAGAATAAATAATTGCTGTTTTAAGACACTGAGTTTTCAGACAGTTGTTGCACGGAGCACTCATACAACTCCCAGTCAGGAAAGAGAAAACTGTCTTAAATCTCTAAGGAGAGACTTCAGGATTTTGCAAGTGCAATGTGACCAGGAAGTCTGAACAAGAGAGAATCCAAACCCGAGATCATAGTGGTCAAGCCTATAGTGGTCAAGCAGGTAAGAATAACCAAAACTCAGATGGCATGTAGCACAGGCCAGGCACTGTTCTAAGTGTTTGACATATATCAGTTCATTTAATCCTCATGACAACTATTTGAACGACATAGCATTTTATCTCCATTTTACTGGGACGGAACTGAGGTACAGAGAGGTTCAGAAACTTGCCCAAGTCACCTTGCTTGTAAATGCCAGAGCTAGGTTGTGAGTCTAGGTTGTCTGCGAAAAACAGGAGGAGGTACAGGGGAGTGTGGTTCTCTAGACAGGCACCAGCATGTTCAGTGGTTTGTCACCAGGTGGGATTGAGAGCATTCTGATCCTTCGGGAGAAGCCCAAAATCCAGATTTTTGACAAATCTCCCTATTTTTAAGTATTTTACATCTTTAAATGTTTGTTTGTTTGTTTGTTTTGACACCGAGAAGATTAAGCCTATGTAGTTCAGGCTCAAAAAATCACATTTAAAACTAAATCTGGCTGTGGCCTGCCCATGTGCACCCACTGATCCATGCTTAGCGGAAGAGTCTTGTTTGGTTGGCAAGTGTCCACCACCTGTATCTAAAGGCTTTTCTAATGTCTTGGAAAACGGCTTCAAAAGCTTTGTGTCTAATGTTACAAGGAGACAAGTAGCCATAGCACTTCCACATTACCTTTACCTTCACGTCTTCCTTCCAGCCCCACATTCTCACAAACCTGCTATTCAGGTCTTTAAAGTCACCGTGATTTGGGCTTGGTGCTCCCTCTGCCTGCACCATTCTTCTCCCCTTTCTTCCCTGGGTCTTAGGTGAATGTCACTTCCTCCAGGGCTTCTGCCAATGTCCCTCAAGAATACTAAGGAACCCTCCTGAGTGCTCCTGGAGCATCATGTACCCACCTTTACCAAAAAGTAGGTTCACTTGTATTTTATCAGCTTCGTCACCTAAGTGTATCTCTTACTGGGCTGGGATCCGGGAGGGTGGGGGTAAGACTGCTTGGTTCACAATTCCTAACATGTAGCAGGTACTGAGAAAATGGTCATTAGATGAAAGGGGAAATGCACACAAGAAAGAACATGTATCCAGACTTTGCAAATGTTATTTCCATCAAGTCTTTCTGTTATAGACGTACACACACACACACACGTACACACACATACACACACAGGCAAGTACCTAGATAAAGCGAGTGCACGATTGACTCTTTCTTCTAGACCTAATGTGCCCAGGGCCTTCCAAGTCATCCAGAACTTGAACGCATCTGGTCTCCTGCTGCATTGGATAGACTTGTCTCCTGTGTCGTAGCTGACATCATAGAACTTATCCTGCTGGAAGAGGTAAGATGCCTTGGCAGAGTAGCATTTCTTAAGAAGGTCCTTTTGAAAAGAAAGAGAAAGAAAGAAAGAAAGAAAGAAAGAAAGAAAGAAAGAAAGAAAGAAACAAACAAACAAACAAAGGCTGTAAGACTGTCCATTTTTAGCATACACTTGATTTCAAAAACACACACCCACAAACGAAACCTGTAGGATGTTCTACTCCCTTGTGCCAAAGCACCTGCTCTCACTCTGACTTCCCTGCATGGGAAGCAATATGTGTATATTAACACTGAGACACAGGTTACCTATTTTGTTTGGGGAAAAAAAACCCTCCGAGTTGAGAATGCCAAGTGCATCTTCACAATCTTATTGATGAGTATTTGGAAGCTTGGAGGTGACCATGTCATCACCTGTAGAGTATCAAAGTGGATCGATTTCTCAAGATGAAAAAAAATCTGTCTATAACTCACTCAAAGCTCCATATTGGAAAAAAAAATCTAACATACTATACATACTTTATATAATTTCATAGGCAAAAAACTAGTCATTTATAGCCCCTTCGTGGGCCCCACAATTGTCTCAGCATCTTCATTGCTACAGAATACCTAGTAAAACCCTCTGCTTCCCCAACAGAACCAAACTACCCGAAGTCCCTTAACCACTAGATCATGCCCCATGTGTATCTTTGCTCACACTACTTGCTTGACCTTACCTCTATTTTAATATAATATTTGACACATTCAAAAAATACATGCAGCATATTTACCAGTTCTGAAATTTACTAACACTGAACCTGGTCTTTCCTTGTTATCTAGGTCTGCCCTTCCTTTGGGTCCCATCTCAAGTATACTTTCCCTTCAGCTTCTTTCCTGCCCATCCCATTGGACTCACTTCTTCCTTTTATATTTGGCTGCATTTGCTGACTTTACTCCTTTCTGCCCCTACTCAATATGCAGTCTGCCAAGCGAGTTCTTGAGGGCAGGAATCATTTCCTACTCATGTCTGTATCCATAGAGCTTAACACTGTACTGGGCATAGAATACCCTCCCTCTAGCAATTAGGGTGATGATGCCACTCCCCATATTCCACACTTCCTTCACATTCCCCTGACACATAGTACAAACAGAAGAAACACAGATATATGAACTTCTCATTTGGAGTATCTTCTAAACCTTAATGATACGAAAGGAAGACACAGAGAAACTCCCCAGTGGTCATAGAGGTCCTAGAGAGTGATCTCTTCTGAACAGAGAAAGTATTCAGTTGACTAATCAACTTGGTACATTCCAAACAAAAGCACGCATTTGCTGTCTTAATAGTAACATTGTCTTGTGTGGACACTAATCTGGATATAATGTGTGCCATTACCAGAAAGCATGATTTTATGCTATGTAAAAAATTATAGACCATCTATAATCTAATCAAGAACTCCAAAACTACACTCATCCAGGATCCGAAATATATAGTATAAAAATAATTAAAGGAATACTACTAAGTCTTCAGTCTTGCTCTGATGGATACTGTCGGTAGACACAGGGAAAGAATAGATTGCTCTGATCTGAACATTAAGATATAAAGAGCCCCTTACTCTTTAATCTTTACTTTCATTCTATCATCCATCCTCAGCTCTGATCAGAGCTGCCACCCGTGCATCTCCCTACCCTCAAAGGTCAGACAATTTGGTTATTGTATCCATAGCAACTGCAGCCTGACCATATATTATAACATTAAAAGGCCACTGCATACATTTTAAGGACAAAGCACACACACACACAAACACACACTCTTGTACTTGCGTCACAACTATAAATTTAATTTCATCAACCATGAAAGACTCAAAAAAAAAATCCTCTAAGCAGATGAACTTTGGACATGTCTTGAGCAAGTTTCAGTGCCTCATGCAAGTGACTGAAAGGGAGAAGAAGCCCATCCATTATCAGGAAACAAATTGCATCATCATAGGCAAATGGAGAAGAGAAGAGCCAAAAAAGCATACAGCAGAATGAGTGATTGTCCTCCAGTCATGATACCATTAATTTCATTACACTGAAAAATCCTCCTGCCTTGGGAAAGTTTCATAAAGAACAGCCAGAGGCTTGGGATTTACTTTATCGAAAATAAATAAATGAAACTTTCACCACAAAGTTCCTGCTTTGCATTTTAGTTTGTATCTTTGTATTAAAATGGATGAGATGTCTTTGGTTTTAAGATACACTTCTACTAAGAGAAGATGTTCAGCTCTCCAGAGAAAAGAACATTTTGGAATAAGTAGAGTAAAAGTTAATGTTTTTGAAAACAATTAGTCATTATTGTACCATCAAAGAGAAGCACCCTGTTTATCTTGTTCATCTTTATTATCTTAATGCTAGCAGGACAATAAATACTGGTTATATGATTTCCAGAGACATGGATGTAACGAGAATACCAATTGCTTTATATGGTGATATCTTCTCAAGCAGTGTTCAGGAATTAGTAGATATTGTACTAGCACTCACACAGTGGCAAGTGAAAAAAATGCAATCAAAGTAGCTTAAGCAGAAAGGAGAATTTTTTATAGGTTCATATATTTAACACTCCAACATGGCGAGGTTCAGTTAATTACCCAAGATTGTGTAGCTATTAGGTGGTGGGGCTGGGTTTCAAACCTAGGCTGCTGGGATGAACGGCCTGAACTCTGTATCCATGACACTTCAGTCTTTTTACAGTGAGCCCTTAAATACATGCGGGAGAGAGTACTTCCAGAAATGCTCATTAAGAGTCCTCAGAGAGGCAGGTGAAACGGAAGATAGCCCATCAAGAACACATTGAACTGGAGATCAAAACAACAATCATGCTGCAGACCCTTACTCTGTTCCTATAAATATGATTTCTGTCCTACTAGTGGTGGCATTTTGTCTAGAAAGCATCTTGATATTTTTCTAAATACTTGTGACTCTGGTGATATTTAAGGGCATCACTACAAATACATAATGAACCAGTAGGTGGCATATTTTTCTTGTCGAGATGAGTTAAGCCATTTTTTATTTCCACAGGCTACATCATATTCTGCTGTCTATTTCCCAGGAGTCAGTTATTACATGGGCCTCCTATTCTGCTGTCTATTTCCCAGGAGTCAGTTATTACATGGGCCTCCTTTAAGTCCTCACTCCTTGCCATCATGTTTTTCAGCTTAGCAAAAGAAAGCTACCCAAAATTCTTCCCATATGGCTCTTTCCATATTCTGTCCCGTATCATCATTATTTACATGCAAGACATTGTCTAAACGCCTTGGGAAATCGGTATATTAATCATCTTTGTACTAAGTAATTCACTGCCAACTATGTACTGAGGACCTGTTATATAACAAGCACCATGAGAAACCTGGACATACAACCCCATAGAGGTACTAAGCATCTTGGTTAACATTTGTTGATTGCACAAAACTAAATTTAGGCTATATCAATAGCAGAGGGGCTTGGTTGTACTCTAAAATGTAAAAGTGAATTTTAAAAATGATCATACCTTCTGATCTTGGCTTGATTGATTGATTGAACAAACACTTGAGAGGCTTAGTATATGCCAAAAGCTGCGCTTGGCACTGAGGATGTAATGCTAAATAAGAAAATCACTATCCCTAAGAAGTTCAAGACGGATATAGGGATAGAAAAACAGGCAGTTACAGAATGGTGCTAGACTAGGGGTAAGAACAAAATCTACAGAGCACGAAGGAGGGTCAATTTTCACTGACTCAGAGACGTTAGATAGGACTCTTCGGGAGAAGAAATATGTCACAGAGAGCTGAAAGATGGGGAGCAGCTGGGGAGAAGAGAAGACGGAATGAGTTCAGTATGGAGCTCATTAACGGGCCAGGGCAGAGCTAGGAAGACTGGAAAGGTAAAGAGTAGGCAGGTCACCACGGTCTTGAGGGTCACAGTAAGAATGACTGGTCAGAGAATTTTCACAGGCTCGTAGAGATACTTCAACTTCAACTTCATTATTGATCTGGCAGAATAAAGTGAGAATCAGCAGACGTGGTGTCCACTTGATTTAGTCCCTTATTGTCAGAGCTCAAAGCAAGTCACTTAACATCTCGGGCTTCATTTTTCTCATCAACGTAATGGAGACAGTGCTACTTGTTCTACCCATCTTACAAGAATACTGTGAAAATCTAATGAAATAATGTCACTGGGGAACACCTCTCAGCTTTGGCCAAAATCCTGCTCATTACTCCCTTCCTCCTACATATTCCCATAACCCCGACCCTCCCAGCTGTCACCACCCATTCTTCCTTTGATTTACTTCTCTCCCCTCAGCAAGCTGAAAAACAAGATGCCAGCTCTAGATATCCTCACTGTTTATGAAATGAGCATATTGTACCTCTCACCCACCTCCCCTTTTTAATGGTATGTATCTGCCAGTAACTATAGAAAACCAAGTTGATAGACTATGTTAAGGCTATTACAAAAAAATCTTAGAGTAACAGGAAGAATGATCCATGGTCTTCATCCTCCAAATGGAGGTAAGCCTGACCTTGCCTAAGCTCTCACACCCAATGGCTTTCATAGATGCTGTGGATCTTTACAAGTGAAAAAGAGACATAAAGGGATGGGGTGGGGGAAAAGAAAGGAAGGGAAAAAGAATAACATAAGAATATCATTTCAAGTCTTCAAGTACAGGTCAACCCCAGTTATCTGTTTATATGGGTGTGTTTGAAACCTGTGGAAACCAGACCATTCAGTTGTCTAAATAGCTTTTGATCTATAAAGTAGGAAAGTGAGAATATAACCTTTCATCTTCACTTCTTCCAAGCCAATGTCCAACCATGACTTCTGACTTTCTCTATTTTTTCTTTAGTCCCACATGTGTTCCCTTTCTGACTTTCAAAGGTGTAGAACATTTTACAAATCCTTATGGGAGGAATGAGATCTGGTCGTCAAGATCACTTGCAATACGAAAATCTTTGTATTTGCCTTCACCGGAGTCCTGACCCTGTCCCTCTGTGTACCCTCCACCTGATTCCCCTAGTCCATGCAGTTACTGACGGCAGAGTGTGGGTTTCATACCCTCAGCTCTGCTGTAAG